TGCTGTTGAAAGGATCAACTGTCAGTTTCAGGGATTGTAACCTGAACTCAAAGTCAGCATGCTAAGGGTTAATTAAAAATATTAAAAGGACATTTCATCAAGAAATATGGAGCATGGTTTCGAGATAATGTGAATTTCCAACCATGTCTCATGTTTTTCCGCTGGAAAGTACGGTGAAACCCACAAGATGTAACTCACCTTCATTCCAGACAGAAGCTTTCCAACTTTCTCAAGATCAACGGGTTTTCTATTCCACTCCTTTATGAGAGTTTGATAAAGAGACACAACTTCTTTCAAACCAGTCTGGGAAGCCATCTTGGATTTTTTTCTTTTTGCCGAGTCACATGGAAAGTAGTTATTAAGCTCAGCGGTTACTGTTGTAATTTATGCGCTAAGGATTATAATCCGAAGAGGACTAGATTCTAGTTTCAAGGCAACGCCTGCTAATTTTCGTTAAGCAGTACAGGATTTCTCTACCACGAGGGTCGAAGAACTTTCTATCAGTTTGAAATTAATTTATCCATACTCTAGAATGGAAGGTGATATCCAGGATGCACTAGAAGACCTCGGGTGAGTTTCAAACGATACCTACAATAATTTATCTTTCAATTTTCATAATTGTATTTATAAATAAGCGAAGAGTAACAAACTAAATTTTTTAAAATTTGTGTTGTGAAGATTTACTGGTGAACTTTTGGAAGAAGGTGCTCTAACTATTGCCACCCAAGGGGAGTGTCTCACAGCTGACTTCATGGCCTTATGTGTCTGGCTAACTGAACAACTGAACTGTCTGTGTACAATACAGGAACATGTTTCAGGTACTATTAATAACAACAAAGCAGAGCTGATGCCATCTAATTTCCAGTTTATATTTCAATATAATTGACGTTCAGAAAATGAACGACACTTTTTAAATTTGAAAACATGTTTCAACAGCTCTTCTGTCATCTTCAGTTCTGAATAATACATAGTGCAAAGTTGAATTTATAGTGTGTAACAAAATGCTGATTGGACTAAACAAACAATAGAAACAGAACAATGCATGCATTTACTAGGAAGGTGTTTAATTAACATGATAAAGTTGGTGATTAAGTGCAGGTTTCTCCTATTGAATGTGGGTAGCTTCTTTGATTTTAAGTTGAAAAGTTGTGGAAGTGTGATCCAAGATGTTAAATCACTCATCAGAACAAAGAGTGCAACATTGTGGAGAATTATGTAAATGTCTGAAAATGTGAGAGGTCCTATCACTGACCAAGTGCTCACGTACACATGTGGATGAATGCCGAGAGGTTTTGCCAACATAGTAGCAGGGCATGAAATTGCGCCTAATACAGGCGCCAATGCGACTAAATTTTTCACTTTGGCGACCAAATCCTGGAAGTTAGTTGCCAAATTGGCAACTAGAATGTTTCATCATAACCTTACCAAGAGATATTGTGAATTAAAAAGATTTGCAAAGATAAATCCACAACAAACTTCCTCGTTAAGTTTGTTTCCAAAACGCAACACATGCATCTCGGTCGATAACTAGATGCCATCGTGGATTTAGGTGAGCTTTAACTTTGTATATTGTCCATCCTAGTGTCCACTTTGTGGCACATTAAGATCTTTTCCCTTAATTTTGGAGGGTCTATCTAGAAGGCTGACAGCTTAAAAAAAGGTTTTGTTTGTCTTTGAAAATGGCAACCAACTTTTTTCCACTTGGCTACCACTTTTAAGAATTAAGGAGCCAAGTGGCTATCAGAAAAAAAAATTAATTTCACGCCCTGAGTAGGCATTACAGCCTGCACATAAAAACTTGTAAACTACACTTGTACAGAGCCCACAAGGGTTAGGGTCTTTCACATGAAACATATTGCCTATTTTAAACAATGAAAAAACCAACTTTTTGGTGTGACAGCAGAAAAAGGGCCAATGTAAGGTAATTTAAAATAAAAGTTAGTGCTAGTGGTACAAAAGTTAGAAGTACACTACTACCAACCTTTATTTTAAATTACCTTACATATTGGCCTTCTTTTCTATTAGAACGGAAGATGACAGAAGCACTGACGAAACAGGTTTTCAAATTTAAAAAGTGTCGTTCATTTTCTTAAATTCATTACATATTTGCTTCTATCCAGACCTTTTGGCAATTGACATTCAATATTGAACCAGTTACTTTTCTTTGGTTTGAAACAGAGAAAGAGGATGAAGAAACATTTCGCATGGAAATGAGTGGACTGTTAAATGAGCTAGGTATTGTGATTGATTATAGAGTATGTTATCCACATCTTGCACACTTCCCTAACTTTCAGTATGTTCTCTTATTTATTACAGGTTGTCCCCATTCCCAGCTTTTAGGAGTCAATGGGCTTGCCTCTCAAGCAAACAGGCTGCTTCTTTTGGGTAACTTCAGCTAAAAAAAGTTATTGAGTGAGAGTGGAATATTCCTATAATGACTTTAAACTCTCCCTCTGACTCTCTTTCAGACTATCTGACCTCAGAACTTCAAGCACTGAAAATGATTGGAGGTGAAGAAGAAGAAAAAATGGAGATTGATAATCAAGTAACTCTCATTTTATAGTATTTTAAAAAAATGTGTATAATTGACATCTGTGTTTTTTCATTCTTTAGGCCAAAACAAAATGTTTACTGCTGTAATAAAACAACTTGATCTTAATCATTTCTATTGACAGGCAGCGAGTCCAGCCTTGGATCAGCTAAAGGCCATCTTACACGCTTTAGATTTACCACAACCATCTAAAGAATCAACTGTGTTTGATTTGTTTACTCAGATCGAGACCAAGGTTAGTGAAACAAAACTGCCAACTATTCACAATAAACTCATCAGTATCAATGACCCTCATATTTTTTATTATTATTGTAACAACTTTATTTTTATTATTTTAATCATGTCAGTGATATCATTACCATGCCAAAACTTTTATTATTTTATATTGGCAAATTTTATATCCTTTTTTTGCTTTATATACACCACATACAGTTGTATTGAGTTAACAACAAGGTTTAGTATAATTTATATAATTATTTTATTTGTTTACTTTTAACAAATTATTTCTCTGTGCATGCAGGTGCGTGAACTATTAAGTAAAGCCCCTAAAGATCATCTTGGGCAGCCTTTATTAGATGAGACTCTGGGAGTCAAGCAGTGGGTATGTAATAAATGTTTCCATTCATTTCCTTCTACAACTTACTCATATGATTTCTTGTCAGGATATCTCACAGTCTAATGTTAAACTTGTGACTTACTTCTTCCTTCAGAGCAAAGTAGAAGAAATCAACTCACAGCTAAATCAGGAGTACACGCTGCGCCGTTCAATGTTGTTGAAGAGATTAGATGTCACAGTCCAATCCTTTGGTTGGTCTGACAGGGCAAAGGTTTGCACTTCCCTTTATATGAATTTTCTCGTTACAATGAACTTGGTCAAATTTGTATGAATCTGTCAGTCATCTTCAGTTATGTTGAATGAATAAAAGTATGCACATCACATTGTTAGTGTGAGAGTAAAAGTTACTCTAACTTGTACATTTCCAGGCTAAAAAACATGAAATGTCTGCAGTTTTTCATCCACTAAGAAAATCTCTATCAGCTACAGCCCCAGTAACCATTCCAGATATAATTGCTGCAAGATCAGGCAAGCAAAGTTACTCTTCTTTGATTTTATTAGATATTACTTAACATCAATTGTATAATTATCATAATATTAAGATACTCATTCTTTTATTATTATAAATGTTCAGTGAAATGGCAATAAAACAAATTTCATAGTATCAGTGATCTGGTATGTGTTAGTTTGAAATGCTGGAATTCCTTTTATTTTCAGTCTCTGTACCTGAAGGATTAATTGCCAGATTTCACATGACCATACACATCTTTTTATTCTATGCTTTATTTTTTTTTATTGCAGATTTGCTTAGGTTGACAAAAACAAGCAGTGGTGACATAAGAGACAAAACACAATGTGAAATAAACAAGATCATGATGGGCAAAGTATGTTACTAACTAATATGAAAATCAAAATCAAATATAGCTCAGAGAAGTGAGGGTATCTCTGTCAATATTTCAAACTTTCCACCCTCTCAGGTCCCTGATCGTGGTGGGAGGCCATCACATGTTGGGTCACCAGTGGAGATGCCATCTTTCAAGAAGAGAACAGAGCCAGCTCCAAAGGACCAAAGACATTCAAGTAAAATATTGCTATCCTTAAATTATTATTCTCTTTGATTAAACCTGGCTAGTTTAAGAGATATCTCTCCCCTTCCTTACCTGTGAAGAGTTTCTTGAGTGCAGTTTAATTGGTGGAACCATGATATACACTAAGCCTTTTAGCCTTAGAACATAATTATGTTACTATTTATGTATGGAAGCTTGTTGCCCAAGGAAATTTTATCACTGTAATAACACTAAGTGTGAAGTAATTGCTGTTTTGTTGACTGTAGATGGCCATGGAGGTGGACGAGGAGGAAGAGGAGACAAAGTTCAAGGGCGTGAGTTACTGAACCTCAACTGATTTTACTTAATCAAGCTGTCAATCTTAGCATCTCAGAAGTGTTCATTAGACAATTTTTTTTTACAATTTTAATTCAAAGTCAAGAAGTCAAGTAATTATCTTGGTACTGACATGAAATTAATTAAAGGAAGAACATGGTCATCAGTGGAAAGAATTAGCCAAAGCAGCTACCTTACAGATCCAAATAACTTGAAAAATGGACATGTGGTCAATATGAAACAAATGCTGCTTTCTGCTTTACTTTTGATCCAGTTATGATTAAGCCTTGGTGGTGATTGCTCTAAATTCAGTGGTTAGAATCCATGGATGTAGATACACTTCAGTTGGGGGAGCAAACAAGCTAGAATTATTTTTTTTCTTAGTTCTACATCTGCATTTGCCACTTACCCTACATATCTTTGCATTTACTATACTGGTATCTCCCATAACACATAACTGTACTGTTATTTTCACATTTTTCAGGCTGGTCACATAAAGGTGCACATAGAGGTGCACAAGGAGGTCAGGGGGGTGGCTGGAGTGGAGGCAGGGGAGAGAAAGGTGGTAACAGAGGACATTTTTTTGTAGGTGATGACAATCAGAGAAGGGTTTATTATAGCTGATACTTTGCCATTCTACCACTGCTGCCTTATAGAAACACTCAGACACTGACAAGTTAATATAAATACAATGTTATTCAGTGATATTTATAAAAAATATATATTGCACAAACTGAGTAGAATGTAATAAAAACTTACAACAAAATCATTAGAGCATGATTATGTCTAACATTACAGTAATAACTATAAGCTTTCTTTCTAGGAATTCTTACTGACTGTCCTGTTAATTTTTTGTGAACTATGACTGAAAGAACCTTACTGTTTGTGCATGATAGTGAGACTCTTTACATGAGAATAAAGGCAAAGGCCTTAGTTATTTTAGGATTACATTGCAATTAATAAGATTCTGATTACAATGTTATGACCCTTTGAAAAATACATTTGTTAAAGACATGTTAAGTTTAATATGTCAAATGCCCAGGCACTGTCCAGGCCAAAATGACAAATTACCAAAACACAAGTCGTGCTGGGCTATTTAATAATTCTGAGTTTGAGTTTCTTTGGCATAAATATATATAATATATTGATAAATGTTAAATAAAATAACTTTATGATGATAATATATCATTCATTTTAAAGATGGCTTAAGGGAAAAATAAATTTACAAGCCATTGTCCTTGAAATGAAAAATTTCTCAAAATTCGTTAAAAAATACTTATAATCCTTTAAACTTAAAGAGTGACTAGCATCCAATTTCTTATCACAGTAATAAAGGAAATGATCACCAATCTCGGAAGCTCTGATTGTTAAACAATTTTCCCTGTCAGTAACAAAGGAAATGTACAGAGAAGACTCTAAAGAATGTAAATGTTGATGTTAGAGGGTGAAGGGTTAACCCAAAAATATTTTCTTTAAATTTTATTAATTTTTCCTGCAATTAATGGTGTTGTCAAATGTTTCATTTTACTTGAGGCTCAGCTCTTTATGCAATACACTTCCTCCCATGTTTCATTTTACTTGAGGCTCAGCTCTTTATGCAACACACTCCCTTCCCAGAGGAGGAATGCCATTATTATGTTTAAAAACAAAATAACACTACAAGAGGAGACTTTTAAAAATGAAAATAAAGTAAGCCTTCGTGTAGAAGCAAAAAACTTGTTGAGACCGTATTGGATTTCATCCAATTTCGGTTTAAATTCCAGTTCAACTTTCAAGGAAAAGCACCTTAGATCACTTTCATGTTTTGTTTATATTTCTTAATTTGTTTATCAGGCAAGTTAAAATAGCTGGTTCCATTGGTCGGCACCAGGCTTAAGAATCCAAGCGAAAGGAACAAAGAACCTTAAAACGCCTGACTGTATTGGATATCTGAGAGACCACCAAAGATTCATTTATTACATTTTTTTTGGTAACCTTCTATTTTCCCCCTGGCCAGTTCGAGCCAAGGATTTTAAATTTAAGAACACTCCACTAGGAATAGGGCCATTTCGAATAAGGTCGACGCAAATACGTGATGTGCAAAATCACCTGATTAACCTCCCTCTTTACCAACATTTACTATAAAACAATTTCTGTTACAAAAGCAAAATAGTGGCACTTTTAAGCTTTTACATAATTTAGAGGGAACAAAGTTGAAATCGCAATATAATCTTGTCTGAATAAATGATAAAAAATTCACGGGTTTCATATGGAACCTAATTTCGTTCAGGTGTCGGATTGCGTTAAAAATTATAACAATGAATAAATGTGCGGAAAGAAAATGATGGCGTATGGAGGCTTCACAAAGAAGATCACACCTGAGATATGCCTTCCTTGTCCCGTTCTTTAAAATATTTCAGTCTTTCAAAGAACAGTTCTTTGGCGAAGGAATACAACTTGCTGTCTAGTTTGTTAAGTTCTTGAATATGCGCAAGATCCTTAGAACTAGGAACTACCTCAGCCGCTCGAGTCTCTTCCTTACTCATTTGCACAAATTGTTGTCGAAATTTCATTCCAAAGGTTCTCTCGAATAGATATTGACTTTCAAGCTGGTACTCCACCAGAGCAAAATACGCCATACTCGCAAGATTTCTCTTAGCGCTTTCTAACAAAATCTCCTCTCTCGGAACGCGTGACATCGCGCTTCTGTTGTAACAACCAACAAGTTCCAAATCAGCCAACATCCGCGTTTGCCGATTGAAGGCCAGATTCGATGAACAGTTCAAAAATTCTTGCAGCGTGACATCTTCCCAGTTTTCTCCAGTATAACATGGTGGAAGTTCTTCTTTAGTTGGGACTCTGCCGTTACACTTGTGCAAAGACATTTTCCATGTTGTACCTTTCTGGTAACACTTTAACTCGCTCAACACCCTTGATACAGGTTCGCGTAAGATCGTTATATAAAGGAATTTCCTAGATCTTTTGCCACCTTCCAATTTGTTTATAAGCCCTGGAACACAAACTTTCAATTCAGTCCAATCGGCGTGCAGTCCACAAGGCCATCCCATAGAGTAACGTGAAAACAACCATATCTCATTTGAGTTGGGTCGCCTACAATCACACCTCTTCCTCCTACGTACGCAGTCACATGGATGTTTTATGTCTAAGTTTTTCACCAGATGTTTACCAAATTTCGTTCCGCCGGTTTTTTGCATGTGCAAGAATACAATTATATCATTTCCTTCGAGATCGAATTGAAACTCTTTTCCGATGTTTCCTTCAAAATAATTAACCCTTCCAGCTTTATATTCCGCCATGCTGCTTCCTTTGCTCGCATTTTGACAACTGATTCGCGAGCACACATAAATGAAAAAAATTCCAGCAGCAGTCGAGGCGACGGCGACTAAACTAAAACAAAACTTCAACTTTCCATGAAAGCCCATAGCCACATATTCGGTCGCATGAAGGAAGACCAAATGTGAAACACAACGATAAAACCACCTGAGAACGATAAACAAGAAATTGACACCGGACTGGGCCTCCCCGATAGTGCAACCAAAATGTGACTCAGCGGGAGGTGGTGGGTATAATATTCTGCAAACTTGCCACAACTGATAAATTGATTAATGCGAATTCAAGGCTCGCCTACTTTTACTCGCTTTAACTCAATTTTTTCCTGCCACTCGGTAAAATATATATTAATGACACTAACAATTTATGGAGGAAGGGCGCTGTGAATCTATTAGATATCATACTGCCAGGTTTCAAGGGTGTGCCTGTTGATGATAACTTCAATTATTATTCTAGTTACACAACCCTTAGCACACCACCTTATTATGGTGTCAGTTTTCCTCGTCTAGAGACCAGAGTTTTTTTTTTTTTCTGCGAGGACTCGATACACATTTATCACAAGCGAATAAATACAGGAATGGCTCCGACCTGTGATTGGATGATAAAAATAGTAAAAGTTAATAAGTTATATTATAACTCCTTACTCTTGAGTATTGTTAACCGCCTGTATCAAAGCGGAACAATGAAATATCAATGCGAGTGAAAATACCGATGTGTCAAACAAGAAATGGTTACTTACCTAGCGAAGGGAAGGCAGCCTTTCCTGTTCATCGAAGTCGTTCAGCGATATTCCGGCGATGAAAAAGTCATCTGCTGACTAAACTCATTTAGCCAGTTCAGGTGGACGACCAGAGACCGGAGCCATTCCTGTATTTCACCGCTGACAGGAACAGCTTTTCAAACAATTTTTTTAAACTAGACTAGTGAGCAGCGCTATGCGAACATTCTCTGACGCGTTTCGTCTGACTGTCGTAAACTTCTTCTGGGAGTTTTACAAGTTACGATTAAACGCCTACATTTATAAGCTATAGTGAGCGGCTATTCCAGGGGCCAATGACCATATGGGCTTGGCTGGACCTACGAGCAGGGATAGGTAAAGTTGTGAAAATTTTGAAAAATTTCTTTTAAAAATTTTTCAGGCAGGGTGACAAATATTTTTGGGGCCAAGGTTTTGGCTAAAAATTTTCAAATTTGAAAAATTCAAGCGGTTTTTTACAGATGATTCCTGGAAAGCAGTTGGCAAATTAAGTAAGGATGGCTCGAGATTTACTCGTTCTAATACAGCATCATGTGATGAACAGCCTTCATTAATTTTAGAACAAGTTTTATAAAATCATTGTACTCTTTCTTAGAAGGATTTCTAAGCATCATACACTAAAGACCAAACCTAAATACTTGAAATTCACCAAAGTGGGCAGGATTCAGGAATTAACAAACCTCAAGATTTCTCTTAGACCTTATACACAAGGACAGATTTGAAATTTTCCTTTGCTATACATGATCTGCAAAGTTTTGTGGAGGTGTGAGAGAAACAGATCAGGTGCTACCCTTTGCTACCCTCATAGGATGGCCTGCCTGTTTACCATCAGGCTTCATATTATGAACTGAATGCCTTGGACCAGCTAAATGATAGCTTGAGTAAATTAAATGAACAAGTCATAAGTCAGTTAAGAACACTGTTTCATTTATTTTTCTTATCTTTCAGAGATAACACAGGCCATTTAGAGGTAAATCAATGTCATATTTCACCAAAATTTCAACACAATCTTGCCAAAGGGCTGCATATCCAAATCTTCCCTCTCCAATTCTGTAACAAAGCAAATACAGCACAATCACATAATAACACCCCCTCCCTGCACGCCAAATTTCCATCAGTTCTTCCCTTGTGAAATAAACATGTCACATAATAGAGTTGCTGATAGCAGATCCATGGGGTTTTCTAGGCAAGTTGCACTATGGACCAAATATTTACTTATCTTGCTATGAGGTGAAAGTGGAAAATGTTATCATTCTAATAACACATTCACAGATTTGTTCTGTCTAACATGACCTTGGAATTGAGAAACAACAGAAGCTTCATGACTGGGTAGTTTTGAACGGGATTTCACATACAAACAATTTCAAATGAACCAAGGTCCCTTTTTCAGATAAACCCACTACCCATTACGGAAGAGCCACTTCCAAGAGAACAACAGCAAGATCATACTTAGCTGTTTCTGAGCAGCAGGTGTTGTTTGGGTAATGGACACTCCAGGTTCCATCCACCAACACTCAGCTTGAAACAAAAAGCAACACAATTAGCATAGGAAATACCAACAGATGGTGGTGCTTTGTGACAGTCTGTATCAGGGCAACATCTTACAATGACATGAAACCTCTGATCTTTTGAATACCCCAGCACATTCTTCAACTTTTGCTTAACACCCATTAAGAGGGACTACTTTGAAAAAAGATCAAACACTAAATTGATCCTTCCGTCACAGAAACTTGAGTCCTTCAAAGTTGTGATCACCTTCTTTTATTTTATAATTATAATTAAATGGCTGTTTTAATCAACATAGAAGCAAGCAAAGTAATATTTGCTCATCAATATTAATGTCTTGAAAACAAGTTCCTGGTAAAAGCATGAAACAACCCTTTACCTGATAGGAAGGAAGTATCAGTTGTCCTTTAATTCTGGAGTGTGTGGTGTAATCCACAGGCAATGCCACTGGTATCATTCATGACCCAAGTGCACCACACATCACCTAAATCACAAGGTGGAAAACTTGTAGTTTTAGTCCACCCAAGTCATTCAAGTAAAAGCAAATACATGTAAAGTAAATAATTGCTGTAAAAACAATTCGCTTTTTTTCTCCTATATTTGCAATTACTCCTAAGTCTACCCAAAAGAAAACTATGAGATTTCTTGACACAAAAAGGATGAACAAATTTAGAACCTAAGGAAGTACACAAGTTTCATCGTCATTTCCTGATTAAAAAAGAAAAAAAACCACAGAAAAAAAGCTCCTTGCTTCCACAGACCTATTTAGGTACTCTGATGCATATAATAAAATAAGTTCCAAAGAAAACCAAAACCAAATTTTCTTAACCCGAACCCGCGCTAACCAAACTAAAACAATTAAACTGAGTCAACATGAATAATAGATTAACCTGCCAACTCAACAATTCGAATGAGGAAAAATTACCAAACGTTTCAAAATCTTCGCAAAATTCCAGACCATGCTTTAGTATTCTACACAATAAATTGAAACACTTGAAGTCAGTCGTCTTTGGGTAAAATGTTAAAGCGTCATACAACGAAAAAAGCACCGCCAACATCAGAACTATCACATTCCACATCAATTTCATCATTATTTGCTTCCACTAGTAATTTAAAATCATAGTATCTATGAAAGCCGAGAAAGTCCTAATGAACATTTTGCAGACTTTAACCTCAAATTTTCTTCCACCAATGATTTATTTTCACGCCGTAACTCTTCCAGATAACAAAGCAAAGTACTTTCGTCCTGTGATTTTTCGGCAGGAGCGGGAAAAGCGTTTGGTGATACAACATACGAATTTTTTGCCGTAGATGACTTTTGCTGTCCATGAGTGCCGACTCTTCCAATTTCCTCACAACGTTTTTGAAGAATCTCTCCTTTTCCTTCAAGCTCTCTAAACTTATTAACAAGTTCGATTTTAGAGAGCTCCAATAAGCTTTCCTCCTGAATACGATTGTATGTGGCTTCGAAATCTTTTTGGAAAAAATCCAAATCGAAATCAAGGTCCTCGAAATCGCGAACGAGATCTTCTTCAGTAGAATCGAAAGCTAAGTCTCTGTCCGATAAAGGTGAACCTCGTACTGACCCTGGAGAACTTGTACAGTGACTAACTGGTGAAGTGGAAGGAGAAGAAATTACATAAAACGGTTCGGTCACCTCCTTATCCTCCATGATGAATTGCGTGGTATTCTGAGGCGCGGCGGTTTTTGTTCTCCTTTGCTTCATCGGTCTCCCGTTCTCCTGCATTAAGTCGAAACCCAGAGGAGTAAAATACTTCCTTTTCTTAAGTCTTCGTAATTTCTTTCGTTTCTGCGGCTTTAAAACGACGTTTTCAGGATCCATATTTGCTTCTCCGACAGACATCTCACAAGTGAAGGTTTCGATGGTCGGTTTCAAACACATGGAAATAAAGTCTGGATAAAAGCTTAAAACACAGTTAGAATTCTTTCGAAACACAGAGTCAAGAGAAACTAAACTGTTTCTAATCCGTCTTTCGTAGTTAATAATTTTCTCTGCTGTAGCCGTGCGTCCTGATTCCTCATGTACCTCGAGTTGCGTTTGAGAAACGTAAAGACGACGATCCTTTAATTATCCATCAGTTCCCATGACAACTGCTATGACATCACAATTATTTTGCTGAATTTGCTCCATATTTGGTGATTTTGTGTGGGCGCGTTTGATGTTTCGCGCCAATCACGCTCTCTAAGGTTTCTGGGAACATATGGGAAGAAACGTTTCAGCAACGTTCTAAAAACTTCTAATCATAGCAATTTTTAGAAACTTTGTGATGACTTTACAAAATGATTCAGCTTTTGCTTTCAAAAAGAGGGGGAAGGCTCTACTAGTTTCTTTTTTAGATATCCCTTGTGTCAAATAAAAGGAGAAAAGGGTCATTGATGTGGTAAAGTGCCGATAAGGATAGTTAATTTTGTTTTTTTTTAATTTATAACAAATTAATGGGCATTGCCGTTCCTTCAATTTTTATTTTTTGCTTAATTTTGAGCCCAGTTGATCATAATCAAATATAACTTTTCAAGAAAGAAATTTCAAGAAAGAAATGTCTCTGTCATCATTGGAAACTATTTATAAATCATTAGTAAAACTGAGTTATGAATGCAAATTTTAATATCAAGGTAAAAAATATAATGATAATCTCTGACTGTATAAGTTCCATTTCTTCACTTAAGTGGTGTGGGTTACGAAATATTCTTTGATTGAGTTAAGAATTTAGTACACAACTGAATAAGAACATAAAGACGACCTATTTTAAAGTAGTTAGGACCATTTCCATAAGAATGCACGTTTTATTTCCTTGAAGTGCATGGCAAAAAGCAAATCATGACATACCAATTGCAAAACTGAAATAAAATACAATACAAATAATTTCTAAAAATATTTTCTTATTTTTATCCCATTCCATCATTTAAAACATATCTGTCATGAGTGTAATAAGTATTTTTTACAGCTAAATAATTTTAGCTTGATTCCGTGTACTAGTTTGCAATTTGTGAATTTGATCTGGCTAATGCTTACACATAAGTTAAGTTAATCATTTCTCTAGTTGAAAGAAACGTGAATTTGGGATTTAATTGAGATTTCTGTGTTATTTGTTTAACTTAATACCCAAAATTTACCCCTCAATTTAATTAAGTCTTGTCAGGTGAATTTTGGATAGCTTACAAGTTAAAAACCATATCAAATCCATTAACAAAAGAGAGCACAGATTTAACAGTAATTTTTAAAGAAGGGGGTGAAATGTTTTGGAAATTAGCCAGGCTTGCAATGAGCTTGCCTCTATTTTCAGGATCCAGCTGCCATGACAGACAAACCAGGTATGGGACAAGGTTTTGAGACAGTGCTAGCTTTTGGTTGTCTTTAATGGAGAGCATGTGGACAAGAGAAAAGATTCCAAGCCTCTGAATTGCAGAAGAGCCTGGCCAAGTGAACTGGTTACTTAAACAAACCATTTCATGACCTCTAATTCCAGACAGAGGTGAAGTGTTCATATCCAGATTGGTATCAGAATCACTGACCATTTTGCGTGAGTCTAAATTAGCCATGTTTGTACTGTGGGAAGCAATATGACTTTCAACATTATTCTTTTCTGGAATTGTTGGATTGATTGTTTTTTTCCATTCCTTTCCTGCTGCAAAAGCAAGATGAACTAAAGGCACAATTGTGACCCACTCAAAACTCAATGATTCCTCCCATTCTGATATTTCACTGGGAATATGCCTTTCCAGAAACTTGTTGATAAGTACATCAACAGTACTTTTAGTGTCTTTCTCCACCCTAGCCAATGGAGCTGAGAGTATTCTTGCAAGGAACAAACAACAGTAGTACCTATAGAGCAAATAAAAAAAAAAGAGAGATTCAAGAGCACCATTACAAAAAGTCTGTAAACCATTGATAATAATTTACAGACAATTTCACTGAATCTGAATGTGCTCTTGATTTTAGTATTTTACAAAATGTCTCCTTACAGTGAGAGGATTGGCAATTATAATGATGCCTTTGTCCTGATTCACTGGAGACTGTAATTTGACAACATTCTTCCTGGTTAACTTAATTAAGAGTCAAAATTATAGGCCTCTTGTTTTAAAAGCCAAATAAAAAATTTCTCCTAGTTACTTGGGCAACATCAGGGGTAATGATTTAATTGAATAATTCTTACCTGAGAGGTGTATCTCCATGCATTTCATCTAGTAGGTTTGTTGTGATGTCAATAATTTTATCCAGTGCTCCACAATCCACTAATGTTGTAGCAGATTTAACATTAAAAGTGCAATAAAACAAAGTGTTTGCTGCAACTTGGCTGGAAAAAAGTGAGTATCCTGCTCGCATTGATTGATGCCTGTCTATCATAAATACAAGCTTGTCAATCAGTTGGGACATTTTGGAAACTACCTCTTGAGCATTGGGATCTAGTTCCACTAATCTGAAGAAATAACAGAAGACGAAATTAATTTTTTTAGCTTTGAATAAAATAAACAGATTGGTCATCAAAATTGTAACAGGGATGTTTGATTTTTATTAAATCTGCAGCAATATCAGTTTGCTTCATAGTGATGAACTGAATAGTTGAAGGCAAGTTTATGCCATGTGTACTTCAATTATCAGAATCACCATAACATGTTACAATGCTTGATATAAAGTCAGGCTCACCTACTAGGGTCTAATAAAATTCACATACTCTTCTGAAATCAAAGTTTCTTTCAGTAACACTTTGTTACCTACAACAGAAATGAGAGCCCAGCCTGTACTCACCCTCCAACACATCCAATGGCCGCCTCATTCACTTGAAGTACCAAGGTGGCAAGGCGTCCATCATGCAACGTTGGGAAACTTTCCACTGGATAAGGATGTGGAAGAAGTAGTGCATTGAATAGCATGGGAAGAATGCTTTTTGATAAAACAAACTCTCGGTCTTGTGCTCTCTCTGAGAAAACCCACAAAAGATCTAGGCAACATTGTTGAAGAACAAGTTGAACTCGATTTAAGTTGTACTTGCGTTGCTCCAGAATATCTTCCTCTTCAATCTCGTCCCTAGTATAAAGTCAGGAGGTAAAAGCAAAACTGGTTAAGATTTAAAAACAAAGGGAAAACTCAAACCCAAATCAGGCCAGAGATGATTATATCATTCTGTAATATTTGCCAAATGATGGCCACAGTTTTAGATAAAAGAAAGATTTACCACCACAATATGGAAAGCAATTCATAATTTCATGGGAAGAGTAACAGATATTTTTGATGATCAAAATTAAGGCAATTACAGTGGGTAATGTAATGGTATTATACACTGCCTGGTGAAAATTGAATGTTTGACTGCCAAGTGAATCTAGTAAGAAAATATGAAAAATAATAATCAAATCCACAGGATGTCCATTGAACAAATTTACATTAAAAGGGTATACTTTCCATCCAGTGGATTGGTGAGACCCTACAAAAGAAATATTGTCCCTAAACAATGAATACATTAATAATCTGTCACTTGAAAAAATATAAATTTTGGTGGGTGTTTAAGTCATAATTTCAACTCCAAAATGGCCTGGATCCATTATCAACCATTACCAGCAGGAATAAACTGGAGGATGAAAGGGACGGTGTGGGAATACACAGATTCCAAGACCTTGCTCCCCTAACTCCTCTGAACATACAATCCCTTCTCCTCCTCTTATTGCAAAGGATAACATCTTAATAAATGATTTATTGTTTCTTTTTCTCTCTCTTTAGGCCTCATCAAGTTCCTACTTCCCTCCCCTTTTCCTCAAATCTCCCCTACCCCTCTTACCCACGCCCCCCTTATCAAGAATGGTATCAGTAACATTCGAGACAGCTAAGAGTTCCTTTGCCTAAAAGTTACAGAATGATATATATGATTTTTTTAGTGAGATAACTCCCATAAAAGTCATCTTAATGTGATAAATGTACAAAACAATATTCCTTTTCACACAAGGTCATACTATTGGTATCCTGAGTTCAGAAATTTAGAGGGTCGTAACAGCGCTATGGCCCCTTCCGACGACTGTCCTATCCTCCCCACTCCACCCCCACCCCCACCCCCACCCCCAACAGGAAGCTGAAAGTTTGAGTAGAAGTCAGATATTGTAGCAGCCAACATATAGGGACGGAAAAATAACTAAGTTTTTGAAAACTTACTCATTCATGAACAGTTCTCGCGAAAATTTAAACACTTCAAGAAATGCGTCAAACCCTCCTTCTTGTACAAAGAAGTGCCTGTGGGCATCAGTCCTAATACATTTCCAGGGATGGAAAAATTCAGCTGCAAGTTTCTCCAAAGCAACCTGCACACGATAGAAAAATCTCAACAGGCCAATATAGTCGTTTTCTATGCGGCTGTTATCGGGGAGCTGTCTCTCTAGGACATCCACAATTTCTTTGGCAGCACCTTTTAAGACATTTAATTCGCTTTTCATGCCGCTGATATCCACAGGGGAGAGAAAATTTAACTTAAAACAGTCACCTTCGCGGAAATACAATCTGCTGAGAAGCATGCTATCGTCTGTCAATAATCGATCTTGGTAAAACAGTCGTTGATCACACACCGGAGCACGAATCGCATCTTGAATAGCAAACTTTACATCTCTAATGCTAATGCCCTCGAAGTGAGGGAGCGAAAGTTTGATTTTGCCTGTTTCTCCTTGATATTCACAGCGATAATCCACGAACAACTCCATTGTGTTTCATGGAAGGAGGAGAGTAATTTTTCGGAACACCCTGACTAAAAGAATAACTTAATTGTCTTAGGGAGCTCTGCCCGATGACTTTGCAAATATAAGCAGACCGAAGAACTTGCGATATATTTTTACTTTCCCGTCGTGCTTTGAGGGAGACGCAATACTTGGCCTAGCGTTGCGTGACAGAAGGTATTATTCCCAGATTTTCCTCTTACTCCAGTCCTCTCGAGAAAGTACCCCCTTTGCTACCCCTGGATAAGTCTGGATTCGAGGGTGGATTGAAGATGTGGCTGGCGACCTCCTTGCCCGAATTAGAAAACAAAGTGAAAAGAAATAGGCTCTCTAGCGCACAATGTTGCATGCTGTCTGGAGAGGAA